CAGCACTAAGGGAAACATCCCTTCCTCTGTGAAAAAAAATCACAATGAAACAAAGTAAAATTATCTTGGCAGAAGTCCCAGAATTAAAAAAGTAACTTTTTTGATCTGATGAAGCACATACCGAACTGCAGTAAATTCAAGCCATCTCTCAATGCAGAGATGTAAGCCTCTCTACAGCTAATACAGAGAAACGGAAAAAAAAGTACTGACAGCTTTTCAAGGTTTCTAAAAAGAATGCTAATTCCAAGTAGTCTAAATGGAAGCACATTAAGTGAAAAAGATTCTGTTAATAGATTTTGTTATTCCAAACATTTTCTATTGATTTTTTTCCTCCTTTGCTCAAAACTCTTACAATCCTGGTATTTACCTCTGCTCATCCTTCTACAGTTCTGTCTGTCCATATAGTTCCCATTTTCTTTGTACACTTAAAATTACGATGCTACCAGAATTCATTTAAAGTGCTTTAGATCTCCTTTATTTTGACATTTATTCTCTTTGCAAACATGAACAACACTGAAAGTCATGGCAAAAGCTGTCACTTATTTCAAAAGATGTGCTATCACATCCTAAAATCATTACCATCAAACAGGAAAAGGCAAGAGAGACTGTACTGTTTTCTACTTTCTACCATATTCCTAGGAATATATTAAAGCTTGTTAGAAAGTCCAAAGTCCATAAATAGTTGCTGCTGGAAGGACAAAACTTACTGTTCAGTACATTCTCCAGTTTTTGCGTCATGGATCCTTCTACTTTTTCTGTTCCATCCGCTTCCAGTTTTTGATGGATTGCTGGAATAAAGTGTCTAGTTAAAATGCAGAACATTTTAATAGGTGGGAATACATTACATAAAAGTGACACTTTTAAACATTTTAAAAATTAAAAATAAAGTGTTATTTTTCTTGTTAGACATAAAAAATACAAACATGCTTCATGGCAGCAGAGTCTAGGCGAGGGCAGGGCTTAGAGCCAGACATTGTAGAATTTTAACCATTACTTTGACACAGACTTTCTGTATCTTCTTGAACAAGACACTAATGCTCAAAGAAAAACAAAAGTGTGGAGAAAATAACAGCAATTAGGTATCTTGTAGTGAAAGTGTTAATTCAATTTAGTATTTTGAAATGTAAGTATCATTTAAGTACAAAATACTTTTGCTTTGTAAGGCAAAGTTTTTATACTGATCTCACCAAAAAGGAATTATCAATAATTAAAGGACAGAAGAGAGTCATAAGAAATTTGGGTGATCCCAAAATCAAGTCCTAGAACACTCCCCCACCAGGTCTCTTAATTTACAAAAATGCACTCTCAAAACACACAATTTAAGAGTATGTTGTAGCAACGCACAGCATTAACCATCACACAGAAGCATTATGATGCTTTTACTCAAAACAACAAGGAAACGGATGGCAGTTTGCTTTATTTTATTTTTGAAGATACTATTTTTTTCCTTTCCCAAAATGTCAAGAGCCACATGGTATTACTAATGGATGTGGAAATGTGTAATATCAGCATTAATTTGTTGTTTTGTTATAACTTCTTTTTTGGAAAGGGAGAGATTTACCAGCATAGCCTGACTACACTATACCACTTTGGAAACATGAACAGCGAATGGAGCATAGATACTCCTTTCTTCTATTTCCCCTCTCTTACACAGCTTTCCTTCCCTCTTCTCTTCTTTTCAGTTGTTGCAGTTGTTATCCTGCAACGTCCCGTCCGGTCGAGGAGGCACAGAGACAAACACACACCCCGTCTCTGGGCCAATGAGCACTGACACCAATATGAGGATGCTGCAAATGGCGTTTAATGCTGTGCGACACAGTACTATATGGTGTGGGTTCACTACGTCACTTCCGCCTGCTTACATCACAGGCTAAGTGCTATTGGCTACTAGGAGAGAGAGGGGGGTGTCTTACCTTTCCGTACAGCCCGATATCTTCCGGCCGCCAGACCCTATCTTACTACATCAGTACAACCAGCAAACATCTTTTTCCCCTTTTTTTTTTTTTAAGGTAGTATTCCTGTATATATGCATACAGTATATATAAAACAATTATTTAAAAATATTTTCCTTTCAAATCTTTAATGTTAACATATGTACTATCTATTTTACCGAACAGTCATTAGTTCCTGTTGCTTTAGATAAAATCAAGGCTTCTAAAAAACCTCCTACTGCTTCCTGCTGCTTCCCAGTAGAACGAAGTAAAGCTAAGCTACCCTTGAAAACAGTGATACTCTGTGTTTTGAAGAAAGCAGGTAACAATATATTTTAGTTCAAGACACAGTTTTGAAACCAGTCTCCCAATTGTCCCAGCTCATCTTGCTTTGGTTTGCATGGCAGGGCAACCTGAGTCCCTCAACTGGATTCTTTTAAAATGAAACAGAACTAAAAGATGCACTCCCTTCAATCCTTTGATCCTACACAAAGGATTTCAGGAAGCTTTGCTTTCTTGAAAATGCAAGAGCACCTCTTTATTTTTTGTTACTAAAGTCATTAGAGTGGAAAAAAAATAAATCTAGTTTAGGACATCATATTCCTTAAGACAATCAACACTTCAATGAAATGAACTAAAACTAACAGATTCTTGAATGTTTTAAGGAACAGACGTCTATCATAAAAGATGGTGTAGTTAACTGTAGCACATATTTTATGTATGACGTGGACACCACTTACGTACCAGAATACCTCTGCAATTTTATACCAAAAATATTAAAGGTTCTAATGATATTATTCCACTTATACACATCAGTTCTGGTCATGGACAGCCAATTACTGTACTGCAATTCACAGAATCACAGAATGGTAGGGGTTGGAAGGGACCTCAGGAGATCATCTAGTCCAACCCCTCTGCCAAAGCAGGTTGATGTTATATACTGAAAGGAAAGTTAATCAGAACAGCAACTACAACATAAGAAGATATTTTAAAAACAAATGTTGCAAGTACTATTGGAACCACAAAGTGTAATGATTTGAATTTAAATATTTTGAAATCATTCTATGAAGCATATTTTTGAAAGAGACTTTGTAAATAGATGTGGATAAAAAACTAAGTTAGATATTACCTCAAAGATTTTTAAAATTTTGTATTTTCGAACCACTAATTACATAGCATTAATTGCTGATCAATTAACTATAATTTTACTCCTGAAGGGACCAAACCAAAGAATTTCCAAAACTGAACTGCAACATCTAATCCTCTATCAAAGCATCTTTTGTTGCCAATATATGTAAAACTTGAAGACGATTTCCTTTAATGTACAGAACAAGAAGTTCTGAAAGAGCACAATTTATCATGTTAGCACTTTCAAAAATGTCAAGTTATGAACTGTAGATTTTTATTTTGAAGGCAGCTTATTTAGAAAATGTATCATGATCCTTGACTGGTTCCTGAAAGTTTTAAAACACATCTTCTCCAAAGCAGTTCTCTTTCTCATCTCCTTTAGATAAGAATATACAATAGCAATACTATTCCTTTTCAAAGATGGAAGATAACATTTTTCACACTGGTAGCATTTAAAGTTTGCATCTTAGCATAAAGCATCTGAGATTCTTAGTTTGAAAATAGTAGTGTTGTAAACCCAGGAAGAATTATACCATTAAGTCAATTCATAGGCATGTTCAGATGAAGAAAGAGATGCCAATGGGAAAAAAAATAAAAACAAACCAAGGTATTAAGTTCCAGAAAGGTGGAAGGCACCGTGGAGTACAGATAAAGGCATATTAATATAACATATGTAACAGGTAGAGTAAAACAGGAGGGATTTTTGGACCACTGTCTGGAATAAGGTATTTTAGGACGTACTAAAAAAAGTCCAGACCTATCTAATTTACTCTGCATACACACAAGAGGATTTGCTGTATTTCCTTCTACACGTTTAATATGCTATTTTGTTTACTGAAGCTAATTTTATACATTATATTCAGATTTAGCAATAAATGTATGCATATGTATACCAAAGTTGGGTTACAAAAAAAGAGCTTTAAGTTTTCACAGCAACAAATGTTATGAAAAATGGTTTATCAGAAAGTCTAAGCTTATTTTATTTGTATTTTTATTTTGATTTTTAAAAAGCTACGTACGCGTTCCTTCCATGGAAGCCAGATGAAAAGTCGTAAGAGTTAGAAGTTTAGACAAGCAAAACTATATGCAGTCGAGAAAAATATCTTTAGACCTAATCTGATTGGAAGGAATCTAGAGATACACAAGTTAAGCCAACGGCATCTGAGAATGCCAATGGCATTCTGGCCTGTATCAGGAATAGTGTGGCCAACAGGACCACGGAAGTTCTCTTACCCCTGTACTAGGCACTGGTGAGGCCACATCTCGAGTACTGTGTTCAGTTTTGGGTCCCTCACTACAAGAAGGACATTGAGGTGCTGGAGCGTGTCCAGAGAAGGGCAACAAAGCCAGTGAAGGGTCTGGAGCACATGTCTTATGAGGAGCGGCTGAGGGAACTGGGGTTGTTTAGTCTGGAGGATACTGAGGGGAGACCTCCTCACTCTACAACTACCTGAAAGGAGGATGTAGAGAGGTGGGGGTCGGTCTGTTCAACCAAGGGACAAGTGACAGGACAAGAGGAAATGGCCTCAAGTTGTGCCAAGGCAGTTTAGATTGGATATGACAAAGAATTTCTTTCCTGAAAGCACTCTCAGGCATTGGAAGGGGTTGCCCAGGGCAGTGATGGAGTCCCCATCCCTGAAGGGATTTAAGAGCCATCCAGACATAGAGCTCAGGGACATGATTTAGTCAAGGACCTGTCAGTCTTGGGTTAATGATTGGACTTGATGATCTTAGAGGTCTTTTCCAATCTAGGCAATGCTGTGATTCTGTTATTCTTCTTAGAGCACTAAACCTATATAATGGTGGGATGGTGTTGTTTGGGACAATCCCCCTTCTCTTGCACCCACATGCTTCCTTTTGCTGGATCTAGCAATCCCACAGCTACAAGGCAGCTACAGTGAGACGATCTGGTGGAAAACTAACTCATTAAGAGACTTTTCTTTATTGATCACTGAGCTTGTCTAAACTGTGCCTCAGCTGCGCCACTGCAATACAATGGAAGAGGAAAGAGCACAAGGCCAAGGGCAGGTGAAAGCCAGCCTCCACCTCTCACAGTAGCCAGTAGTTAAGACTACAAATGCAACTTCATACCCTCAACTCATTGTTGGCTGTAGTAGGAGCAAGGAGAAAACTTCAGGTTTTTGAAGGCCTGAAGTAAAGGACAGACAGGATTTTTTCCTGAATTGCCAGTCACCCTGGACTTACTGATATAAACCATACAAGTTGGAACAGCAGCTGGAAACCTGGGAGAGCCTGTTTACTATTACTGAGAAGCTTTACTGTAAGGAGAACACAACAAATAAAGATGAGGAGAAGCGAGGCCTAGATGCTTCAACTAAGGCCAGAAAATTAACTGTATTTTGTATCATCTTTGGCCAATAAGTGTTTAAGTTTCCTGGCTAAGCCAGAATATTTAAAGGCTTGCAAACTTCCAAGCTGCAGTGAGATACTAACAAATAATAGTGAAGAGACTAAGTGACTAAATACTTCAGAATTGGTTATTTTTGGTCAAAACACAGGCAAAAAGTTCCATCTGGTAAATAAGCCATAGTACAGGTCTTGTAGTAAAATAAACTGCAATTAATTAATTACTTTTAAGTGGTGAAAACAATTTTATTTCATTTAAGGAAGAATATGGTTTTCTACTTCACAACTGTAAATCTAACAAATTAAACCACACTTGCCAGGATTATGCATTCTTTTAGTTGCAAATTTCATTCTTGATTTAC